TAGCTAAATGTGCTTCAAACTTTGAAAGAAGAAGTTGCACAAACAGATAAAATACGTCAATTTTCAGACCAGTTGAGTAAGTATGAAGGCTGACTGTTCGTCTACTAGGCAGCAAGCATCTGAAAGACAAGAGAAGCCATGCATACAGAAGCTCTCAAGGCAAACTAGTTAGTTAATGATCTGTATGTTGTTCCCATTCCATGCAAACAACACCATTCTTTCCCCACCCCCTCAATACCAGGTTACTGCTGGTGAATGCAATGCTTTGACAGGAACACCAAAACGATGGCAGTGACTGTGGACACATGCGATTTTACTTGATAAACTTCTTGGGTTTGGTTCAAAGTCTCCAGAAGACTCCCGACCTGTGTGTTTTTGGTTTCTTACACATTGTTATGGGCATCTTTGCTTTGCAGGGAGACAGCATTAGAGTTGTGGTTATGATAGGTCATCTACATATTTTTCTTTCTTCACAGATCACCTGGACTTCCCTCACTGTAGCCAAAAATCTGAATCAGGAAGCTCCTGCCAGGCTACCAGCAATACTTGCAGCAGGCACCAGGGGTCACCCAAGAGCAGGAGGGGGTGGGTTTCTCTATCTTCCATTCTAAATACCACCTTTCCCACTGGAAGAGACTCAAACATGGTATACCTTCTCTGAGAGCAAAGCTTTGCTGCAAGTCCCTCTGTGCTGACCTCTCAAAATCCCATCACACCATTCTTGGGGAATGTCACACAGGCCCCTTAAACACATTCAGACAAAACCAGAAGCTACAAATAAACTAAAATGACAATTCTGTCAACTGTAACTGTGTGCAAAATCTATTTCAAATAATATGAATTGCTAAACTGTTATGCATTTCCTGAACGTTCTCTTCATACTTTGGGTGTCCAGCGTTTGCAGCTTTATTTAAACACAACTGTCAGCTTGAGATGCAGTTGGTCTGTCTCTATGCAATATGTCCCATCTCATCAAACTGAAAACACAGATATGAAACCACCTGGCCTTCATTCAATATTATCTCATAATCCATACCTTCGGTAACTAATGTCAGATTCCATGACAGGGCATTGCTTCTCAGAGGGACACCAACTCATGCTAGAGGTAAGGGGAGAAAGGGTCAGAACAAGGAAGGAAATGATTACATAGCAAAGAGAAGATGAGAAGAAAATTTCAGAAGTTTCAATGCAATAACACTATGAGGTTACATTCGAGAGAAATTGTTAGGTGTTTGTGTACCACATGAGTTGTCCAATTTTCAAATGATACACATTGGTTTAAAAATAAAGCTTGTCAGATTATATGTTCTTTGCCACTTGATTTTCCAAGGAAGATGCTCCTTAATAAGTTGCACTGAAGCAGAGTGCATAGTGGGTATAAATCCATTTTTCCACATTGCTCCCACATTGATGCCACTGACAGATCTACAACCATTTAGACTGCAAGTAGCTGTTAATGCTGTGACAAGTCTAGTAATTTTAAAAAAAAGTGTCTTCTATGTATATGGCAGACACTTGGTTTCATACCTAACCGAATGACTAAATCGAAGATTGGAGTCAGTGTAAATCAGATCAGGGTGAAGTAATGAGTTCGCTGGTTTATTAACAAATCATCGTTCTCTTCCAGTGTAAATCCACAAATTTGTTATGATGGAACTGGAACTAACCTCTGTATCTCTATTTCAGTATCATAGTCACTGTATTACTGCGCCATTTCCTTAGTTACATTACATGGTTAGATTTCTCCAAATTTGGAAGGCAGAATCCAAAGGATTTCCTTTACAAATAATTTACGGCACGTAGATATCACTACTTTATTCATATCACTAGCAAAGCCAACCTTTACTGCCCATTCCGAATTGTCCGCAGGGAAGTGGTCATGAGTGCCCTCTTGAACTGCTGCAGTCCATGAAGTTTAGTGCTGCAAGGGAGGGAGTTCCAGGATATTGACCTAGTGACACTGAAGCAACACGGATATAGTTCTGAGTCAGGATGGTGTGTGACTTGGAGGGGAGCCTGCAGGTTGTCGGGTGTTCCCATGCATCTGCTGCCCTTGCCCTGCTGGGCGGGAGAGGTCATTGGTTTGGAAGGTGCTGTTAAAGGATCCTGGATGAGTTGCTGCAGCGCATCTTGTAGATGGTACCAACTGCTGCTGTTGCGTATCGGTGGCGAACAGAGTGAAAAGTAGGGGTTGGCTTGTCAAACAAATGAGCTGCTTTGTTCTAGATGGTGTTGAGCTTCTTAAATGTTATGGGAGCCGCACTCAGCTAAGCAAGTAGAAAGCACTCCAAAATATTCAGAGTCAGAGTTATACAGCACGGAAACAGACCCTTCGGTCCAACATGTCCATGCCAACCAGGTTTCCCAACTTAATCCCATTTGCCCGCGTTTGACCCATATCCCTCTAAACCTTTCCTATCATCATACCCGTCCAAATGTCTTTTAAATGTTATAACTGTACCTGCAGCTCCCACTTCCTGGCAGTTCATTCCACACATGAACCACCCTCTGTGTGAAAATGTTGCCCCTCAGGTCCTTCTTAAATCTTTCTCCTCTCACCTCAAGACTATTCCCCCTCATTTTGAACTCCTCTACTCGAGGGTAAAGACCTTTACTAATTACCATAGCTATGCCCCTCATGATTTTATAAACCTCTATAAAGGTCACTTCTCAACCTCCTATGTTACAGGGGAAGTAAGTCCCAGCCTATCCAGCCTCTCTTTGTAAATCAAACCCTCTAGTCCTGGTAACATCCTTTAAATATTTTCTGCACCCTCTTCAGTTTAACAATAACCTTCCTTTAGAACATCTTAGGGAGTCAAAGTCTTGTTACTGGTCTCAGGGTTCCAGTGCCTGATCTTCTCTTGTAGCCAAAATATGAACATTCAGTGGCTCAGTGAGCTTTCTGGTCATATTATACCAGTGGGCATTTTTAAACTTTACAGGGTGGCAAGGCATAAAAGTGTCACATGTTGATCATCATCAATGACTTTAGCCACAGTGAAAATATTGATTTCTATATTCCTATGTAAGCCAGGAATTAAAAATGGTGTCATTGCATATCCCTTCAAGTGTATTTTTTTGTTAAGTAGTGAAGGTATCATAAAGTCTTAGTTTTAGAAGTAATTAGATGGGAAACAGAAGCAACAGTGTTAACAGCTGTTAAGAATGCTAGCAATGTATTTGCAAAGAATAACCCTGTGCTTGATTAATAAACCCTGTGCTGATACATACAAATTCTTATTACACTGAAACCTGGACCTCAGCTGACCTCAGAGATTCTAGGGTACAGGGCTCAAGGCTAAGAAACCCACCTCATTTCTACAGGAAACAGTACACCATAGTAAATGCTGACCTGATTCTTATTCATCAGATGTCCACATCTGAATCCTAGGCCAGGCAGGGCCCCCATTTTGGGCCCAGGAACATGGCTAGGTTCACCTGTGATCATGGCTGCCAACAGCTCACTTAGCACAAAGCAGAAATGTTAACAGGGACCTTCCTGCATGAACCAACGACATGGACCAGGCCTGAGACCCCTGTTACAGTCAACTATTACCTGTCTATTGCCACTTCCCCTTAGGTTCCCCCAAGGCTTTGGTGAAGAATTAATTTTATTTAAAAAAATCAACTTTTGGTCAGTCAAATAATAGTATCACTGAGCAGGCTTTGGTGAAATAGAATTTGCAAAAGAAGTCTGTTTTCCAACTGAACACTGGAGGTGCAGCCAAACACTCAAGCTCGTGTGAAAAAAAAACAGAAGATTAATATTCATTTTCACCGGTTAAAACAGTTAGTCTTGCTTCATTTTTACCTTCTTCTGTGAATTGGTGGCCGCTTTACCATGTCACCATGCATTCTCACAGAACTGAAAACAAATCAATGAAGATGAACAATCACTCAGCAAAGAAATGAAACGATCGATGCCTCAAAGAATAAATGATGAAATGATCAGAAGAATGAAAAGTGGAGAAATCAAGAATGCAAAACAACGAATAATAGCAAGGGGCAAAACTCACACAAGGTGCAAATTCAATCTATTTGAAGCCCAAATCTAAAGAACACTGCAATTAAAACCACCCCCTTTTTTCATGTACTAAGACCTGACTCTTCATGGTACAGAGACAGACCATTTGGTTTGACACATTTGTGCCTGTGCCGATGCTCCACTCAAACCTCCACCGCACTGTAATCCATCCCACTACCAACACACTGCCTTGTCCTCATTCATGTGCACTCACCTGGCTTCCTTGTAACTGCATCTATGCTCATCCCTGAACTACTCTGTGTGGTAGCCGGTGATAGTGAGTTTTATGTTCCAATCACTCGCCTGAAAACTTTATTGGACTTTCAGTGACTGTCTTAGATTCATAAGTTTGATGGCAGGATCTTCCCAGCCCTGGGAATGGTGCGAATGGGGTTGGGGTGGGGTGGTGAGAGACGGTTGGTAAAATAGCAGGGACAGTTCACTGACACATTCCTGCTTCCAGGGGACCACCAGTCAGCACGTAGATTGTGATGGGCGGTCTAATGCAGATTTAATTCACCAGCACTTCCCTGGATGAAGGTAGCTGCCGGGGACTGTCTGGGGTCCATCGGAGCTTTCACCCACCAGTGAGGCTGCACTCTACACTAAGGAAGGCACCCATTGCAGCCAGCTAGACTTCCTCTTCAACTGCAGGAGCCCGGTCACTTGGTTTCCCCTGTAAAATATATAATTGTATTCACCCTTTCATGGTGTGGGCAGGAGGGGTTGTATTTTTTGATGCCCCCACATTTTCCTACCAGCCTGAGGAGCACCCTCTTCCCTCTGGGGCTGCGGAGGCTCTGGAGATGCCAGTCCTGCAACCGGGATATCCATAATTGGATGGTGAGCTTGGAAGGAGCCTCTGGGAAAATAGCTGCCTCCAGTTCGTCTCCCAGCAAGCTCAGGTGGGGAACCTCCATTTGGTCTCCAGTGCTATGAAGCTACTGAAAGGACTGTGCTCCCAGTTTTAATCTCCTAAACACAGAAAAATCTCATTCAGGTCTGTGTCACATACCCCTTCACAATTAACAATATCAGGTCAATCCTTAGTCTTCATTTTTCCCATTCTTCTTCCCCCAGCCTGTTCAATCATTGTTAATATACAAGCTCTCAGGCCATGCTGATGATAGCTCAGTCAAGCACGAGCCAGGGATGGTATCTGTTGTGATGCTGTACCATTAATTCACAGCTGTAGCTCTGTGACTGTTGTAATCACGGTCAAGTCATGCAATCAAAGAGGGCTACAGCACAGAAACAGGCCCTTCAGCCCATTGAGTCTGCATCATTCAGAAACAACCACCTAACTAATCACATTTTCCAGCTCTTGGCCCATAGCCTTGTACGCCTCGGCATCACAAGTGTACATCAAAATACTTCTTCAAATGGTAAGAAGTTTTTTGTCTCTATCATTCTCACAGGCAGTGAGTTCCAGCTTTCCACCACCCTCACATCACCCCTTCTTCACATCCCCTCTAAACCTCCTGTTCCTTACATTAAGTCTATGGCTCGTAATCATCGATCCCTTTGTCAAGAGGAAATGTTCTTGCTGTTTACTCTGTCAATGCCCCTCAATTTTACACATCTCAATCATGTCCCACCTCAATCTCCTCTGCTCCAATGAAAACAACTCCATTAAAATTCAATTGTTCCTTCCAGCTTGGTCTTGTGATTGAGCCCTTCAAGCATGCACTTGCTTCAAGTTACGTAGACATTGTGCGTACAACCCAATGACCACAGGTGAGAGTTTCAGGATTTTTTTGATCTCTCAAACTCATATGTTCACAGAAAAACAAGAACCATTTTAATTTGAGACAAATAGCAAGATGGAAATTCACTCTGCTTAATCCCATGGACAATGCAACCTCTTTCCACCATTACCTTGATGTTTACGGATTAAATCATTTGCCTGGTAACTGCAGTTTATGCTTCTTTACCTCCTTCTCCAAGGCCACGAAAACAGAAAAAATATCGAAGCAAAGAAAGTTGCTTGAACAAGGTTGAGGAATATAACCGCTTTTTAAAAAATTAAATGTTGCATTGCTTAAATACTTTGGTTACAAAATGCATAGCGTACTCTTCATTGTAGATTAATTAACCCATTCTTCTTAACAGTGCATTAATATCTATTCATCATAACATCTATTGTTATAAAGTGGCACTAAACTGCTCCATAATTGAACAGAGTGAATAGAAAAATAATTGAATGTAATGAGTGCCACAGAGCTTCTGCGCCTCAACCCTCCAGTCACGTCCATCTTTTTCCCATCTTACCTTCGCTGATTGATCTCAGTTTCGCTGCCTGTATTCTTCCCGGGTCCCCAGCTATGTCGCCTGAAGGGCGACAGTGGCCTGATTGCTGGTCTGAAGATGGAGGCTCGTGTGGGCACATCAGCAACGCTGTCCTTCTCCTCTTCAGCTTCACAGACTACAGTGCAGCCGTTATCTTGCCCAGCTGACCCTCTGCTGTCCATCTGCTCGGTGCTCGAAAGACTCTGTCTGTCATGATCGTCTTTCACTTCCAAGATAGCGTCAGGGGGCAGGAACACATCACTGTCAAGGGCTGTAGTCAGCTCAGACGACTCAGATTGCCCAACAGTCGAACTACTTGTTGTTACACCACTAATTTCATACTCTATGTTCTCTCTACCTACAAGCTGAAATACAGAAATAAAATACAGATTTTTAACAACAGCAAGTGTTATGGGCCAGACCAAACCCTCTTAAATTATAAGAAGAAGATAGCCAAGACCCTAACTTTTTCTTACCTTAAAGGCAAGCAACAGGTGTTGCATTTTGGATGCGATTTGATTGGTCAAACTACCAATCTTGAAACACAATACAACTTTACTCATACACTATAGTTAAAATACAACAAAAGAAAGAAAAAATTGGAATAACAACTCTATTGGAAAACTTAACAGAATAATAGATTACTCAACTACTAAACGGTAACTGTTCCAATATAGTAACATCTCATAAACGCATACTTGGCAAAGGCAAATTCAGTTAAATAGACTGTTTGACAGGCAATTCTCCAGTCCACGAGGAAAGACATCAAGAGAAAACAGAGTGCAAGAGATTATGAGTGTGAGACAGCGAGAGTGTGATAGCGAGCGAGTGAATCACAGGGAGACATGTACTGCAGCTTCCAAACACAGCTTCAGGACCCCAGCAGCAACTGCCAGTAAAAAAACTCAACTCTCTGGGAGTCTGACCCCATCCATTCAGGCTGCTTCTATTGTTCCAACTTAAAAAAAATCATGGCCTCACAAGCTGTTTATTGGATTCAAGTAGACAGCTCATCACCTTTATCTTAAAACCTCTCTTCAAACCAAAACTCAGGACAAAATACATCTCTTAAAGCCATAGTATCATCACACAAGGTATTTGCCACACTTTACTGGTTGAATTGGGACACATGTCGTATGGTGGGGGAACTGAGCACAACTGCAGAAGGATTTCAAAACAGATCACTGGTCATTGCTTATCTTAGTCACCCCAGCACTAGGTTCTGCTTCAGTGTTCCTAGATCACAGAAAATGCAAGGATATCAGTTGAACTCCTGCCCTTGATAGCAGTATACAGGTCTACATTCCTCACAATCCACTAAAAGCCTCTCCAAATATCAAGTCCACTTACATACTCTAAGATACAAAGAATTTTAGCACATTCAAGGGTGATGCTTTAGTGTCTTATTGCAGTAGTGCTACGTGACGAGAGGTTCAGAATTTCAAACTGAGATATAAAAGGAACTCCCATGGATGTAAATGATCTCAGAAGAGCTTTCTTTTTTCCATATCGGGGGCTCCCCATCCCTTAGAAAGTTGCTTGCCACCTCTTGGCTCCTTTGGTGGTTTTGCTACAGTAACCTCTCATTTTCCTACTTCATGCCAGTAGGAGGACACATTGCATGCTCAATGGCTCATGTCAGTGAAATTGTGTGGGGGTCAAGCCAATGATACTATGTCAAATGGAAAAACAACTATCCTATATATATTCCCAAGATTCTAACATTACAGCCTCATCCAAGCGAACAAAATGTTTGCAAAATCTCACCCTAAATAAAGGTCTGATTCATTAACTTTACAGTGCTACCTAACTACAACAGATGCAAGATTGTTCTGCACCCAGGCATATGATATGGTTTTGATTACTTTGCCCGGTTTTAGACTGACCTCACGAGTGTTGGACTGTCTTGCCTATACCTTGTACTGCCAGCTTTTGTAAAGCAAAAACCTGAAGAAATCTGAATGAACCCCAAGCAAGTGAGTTTGAAGGCTCAATAAGCTATGGCTTATTATTTTTTAGGGGGATGTGCTGTGAAGCATCAATCCAGAACATTTCCACTACATTTACCAGCACCCCAAAGCTTAATACAATGAGAATGGGGACAGTTAAATTGCTCACTGCTGCTGGAGGAATGGGTGAGAGATTAAGTAGTGCTGACAAAAACTTGCTGTTGTGCTGTAAATGTGTAATAAAACATCCCAAGGTGGTTCCATATGACCATAAGATGCAGATGGTTGCCATTCAGCCCATCAAGTCTGCTTTTCCAGTCAATGAGATCATGGCTGACCTGATAATTGTCATTTCCACTTTCTTGCCTTTTCCTCATAACTCTCAATTCTGTTATTGATTAAAAATCTGCCTATCTCAGCCTTGAATATATTTATGATCCAGTCTTGACAGCTGTCTGCAGTAAAGAATTTCACAGATTCACTACCCCTAGAAGAAATTCCTCCATACAATTTGTCCTAATTGTATGACCCCTTACCCTGTGATTATACTCTCTGGCCCTAAACTCTGTCACAAGGAGAAAGAACCTTTCAGCTTTTACCCTGTCAAATCCCCTAAGAATCTTGCTTATTTCAATAAGGTTGCCTCTCATTCTTTTAAACTCCAGTGAGTTCAACTCCAATTAGCCCAATCTACTCAACCCCTCCTCATAGGACAGAGCCCCTCTATTTGGAGGATCAGACTAGGGAACTTTCTCTGGACTACCTCCAATGCCAGTATATTGATTGTTCAACAAGAGGCCCAAAATTCTTTGCAGTATCCCAGCTGTGGTCTAATTAGGAAGCTTATAAGCCCAATGGGAACATTCTAAATCAAAATATGACTCTGGGTGACACAAGGAGATAGAAGGTCGGATGACCGAAAGCTTGGTTAAAGAGGTGGGATTTAAGGAGCATCTTAAGGAGGATGACAAGGAAAAGTGGGGGAGGGGTACAGCTGGAGCTTGGGGCCAGGGCAAGTGAAGGTGGGCCACTTCCAATGCAGAAACTGAAATCCAGGATGCTAAAAGGAGGCCAGAAATAGATGAAAGCATTCATTTTGGAAGGTCGAGAGGCTACATGAAATTACAGAGACAGGGAGGGATGAGAACACAGTGGGATACAAAATAAGGGGATGAGAATTTTTAAAGTAAGGCTATGCTTGACCAGGAATTGATGTAGAGCAGCAGGCACAGGAAAGAACAGAGCTTTGAGCAAGCTAAGATACAGGAAGCAGAGTGATTTTCAAGTTTAGTAATGGGAGAACGTGAAACGCTAGCCAGGACTGCCTTGCAATAGGCAAGTCAAGAGGTAGTTGAGTCAAAAGGACTCAGTGACGTAGCCTAATGCAGGCAGAGCAGAAGTTGGATGAGCTTCAATTGCTCTGAAAGCAGAAAAATGTAGCTGAAGACTCCTAGTTACCAATTACTAACTTTTCCAGGAAAATGTACATGGATTGCAAGAACCAGAATCAGACTCAATTGTGACATCCTCCAGGTTCCAATACTCCACATTTAGATTTGAGTGTGACCATAATGGCAAGTTCTGATAGTGCCAGTGGAATAGTAAGGAAAGGAGAAAATTAAAGAGGAACTGGGGGTTGCGGGGGTGGGGAGGCTGCTGGAAAATAACTTTTTCTCCAATGAAAGTGACTATGAGGGGCTCAAATCTTGCTGAGGAACAGCCAAAGAAATGCCTGTGTGACTGATGGGTGGCACTGACTGACACAGCTGTTGGAAAAAGTTACACCCAGAGTTTCAGGCACTATACAATGTGCGCAGATATATAGGGACACAAAATATCACTCAACTTAACTCAACTCTAAAAAGTTTGAGATAGTAGAAACTGCCGATGCTGGAGAACCTGAGATAACAAGGTGTAGAGCTGGATGAACACAGCAGGCCAGGCAGCATCAGAGGAGCAGGAAAGCTGACGTTTCGGGTCTGGACCCTTCTTCAGAAAAGGGTCCAG